GCTTCGCCGTCCCAACCACAGCGACGTCTGCTAATGTCCTCATTCGACCAGGTTCCCCTCTCCGCCAAGACCTCAGTGCTCACTCAAGTGGCCCAGCTTGCCATTGGTGCTGTCTGCTGGCGACCGCCGGACATGATTCTCAACAACAACGAGTTTCTTCCGTTCGTCTATGCCGTTCGCTATTCTTCTGTACGTCTCGCACATCTTCTACTCTTCGATACCGCCAACAAAAGCCCCCACATTCTGATGTTTAATGCGTTCTACATGCTCAACGGAATTCAGTCCTTGTTCTTGTGAGTTTAACTTCTTGTCTTAATAGCTTTTTGGATAACCGTACATTTGATCTTTTCTTTATAATGAATTAAAATATGGAAATCGTCTCCGTGGATCTGCCTAAAAGATCGCATCCCGCAGTATATTTTTGTACAGTTCGCCTACTGTTCCTCGCACCAGTAGACTCCCTTTATCATATTCCTTTGAGTAATTTTATGTACGCTATTTACCGACTAGTAGTTTGTTTTACAAAGATTTTAGGAAATGCAGAATGTATATTACAGAGTTCAATCAATTTTCTTGCATTTCCTATCACACGCCTTTTCTGCCATTGTCTCAGGAACAGTTTTCACAGTCCTCCAGAGGATTAAATGTTTATTTACTCAGATCCCTTACGAAAGAACTGTGTTTGACTCAAGAGAACCCTTTCCCGCCGAATACTCTCCAAGCCAAGTAAACTCAATCATTATGTGCTTCAAGATCCGTACGTCATCGGACTGGACGAATCGGAAGTAGACTTTGTGCCATGGCATCTGAAACTGAATCGGCCTTCAGGGGCATGCTATTGAAAATTGTGTGGTTTCGCCACACTTTTGTTCAACTACACAATGAGTGTGTCTAACTTTAAAACATTTCATCAAACAACTTCTCCGTATTTTTCAACCCTTTGGGGTACAGCGGTGTTGCTAGTTGGATGAGGAGTAAGTATACTGTTTATTTGGTGGTGCGATCGTTGTATAAAGACTTTTATTTGCCCAGTGTTTCGGGTTCTCACGCGAACCCATCTTCAAGGGCGACTACCGTTAAGGGCGATAAACGCACCGGCAGCGCAGTATGCGCCCACATTCGAGCAGAACCTTGCCGGAATTTAATCACCGTCGTTGATTATTGACGTGATAATTACTCTGCCTTTTGAGCCAGCGACACTGGCATTGAGAGCAGTGCTCACCCACACGCTCTCTTTGCGACTAACGACTCTGCCCAGGCAGTCTCAGCACAGAATACGGAGACGAGAGGTCGTTGCGCTCGTTAATTCATTGTTTTCGGTTGTCACCTCCCGTGAGAATTCCAGCCGCCCCGAGCTTGAATGTGGTTGGGTCCCATCTAATGAGTCGCAACCTGCTGCGTGCTCAGCCTACAAAGTTTGGAGTGGGCTTCCGGCGACGTTACCTGTAACTGCATCATTTTCGCTAAACGAATCCAGACGTTTCTTGCTGCGGCAGCGGGCCCTTCAGCTTCTGTTTTTCGTGCCATACAGTTGTCTCTGATTTGCGTACAACTGCAAGTTGCATGTGAAGATGACTGATGGCTCCCCTGATATCCTCGACGTGTGCGAGCGCTCGTCAGGATTCGAGGCTAGTGTCGTTTGACTTGTCAAGTCTTGCAAACTCTATTAAAACTCTAGTTGACAGAAATGAGCAGATAGCCATTCTCTCTGAGCACCCTTCGGAGGTATTTAAATTCAGTAACTTGGTTTTCGCTGCAGTGGGTCTCAGTATGGGGATATAGCCATCCTTCCCGCTATAAATCTGTTTTTGGTCGATTGGGTGATTGCTGTTAAATCTCAATACCCGTATCCTATTTGTTGCTTTCCTGAACACTTTAGATTTCAGATCATCACGCACTTTGCGGCAGACAGGTATATAAACAAATTCCAACAGGTTGTTCCTTTCTGCATAGCGCGATAATGATTTCCTCTTGTTGCACGTATTTTTTCGGATTTTTAATTCAGCTGTTCGCGTTCAAGGCGTATTTAAAAAAGCCTTAAATAGGCCTCTTCACTGTGTATTTACCGTGTATTATTTTTTTAGAATCTTCAATGATTTGTCGTCTCTCAACTCATCGACGGACTTTCTGTCAGGTACCTTCAGCCCTTATATCCTACGCAATCGTTTTGATCGATGAGTTTTCTTGTGTTTAGTCTTGACGTGACACGTTTTGGATTTTTGCGAGCCTTTCATTTTAAGTATTGGCGACTGAAAATTAGGCAAACTAACGTTACCGAAAAAGACACTGCAGACTGTTAAACCTATTTCTGGCTTATTTGTCGTCATCAAGCAGTCATATCCAGCTGCCGATTTTGCAACCCCTTAAGCTCGAGCTTGTTAAGGTGACTGCCCCAATTTTCCCTAAATTTTTATTGTCGAATAGATTAGCGAACCCGGATAAGGGGAAGCATGTTTATGTAGCAGTTGAGTAGTCGGTAGACACACAGGCTTAGTATACCTGCTTTTATATTAACATTGATTGCCTTTGAGATCATGTCAGCTAACGATATTGGCACTTATCTCCTGTTGGCAATAGACTTAAAAGCTTGTGGTATCCTGAAGCAAGATGTTGAGTACCACGAGTTCTTATGTCTACAAGAATGTGAATAGTGGGAGGGTGGTGGTGTGGTGGTTAACTACTATCTCTCTGTTGCCTCTTTTGACTATTTACAGTGCTTTGAAAGCATATAACTATATTTCACAAGCCTCTTCCTCATCCTTGACTCATTCTTCTGCACCTCCTTTTTCTTGAAGGCGCTCTGAGCACTGTGCTTGAGGAATGGTTCGCATGCGTTGATCGTCTAAGTAACATCGCTGCAGTGAAGGCTGAAGTGAAGAAGATTTCAGAGACTGATTCCATACACTTTGACACGGACAAATATGCCAATTACGTCAGTCGGCTCAGTCTTAAACCCCTAGAATTGCTGTGCTGTCATGGAGTGCTTTTGGTAAGTCTTCTTTGTTGTCCGAACTGTACCTAACTGTTGACTACTCGTGCTTTCCTTACCCTCAGTCTTTGCTCTATCAACCTATTTTGACTCGTTGTCCTTAGCGAAAAACCACTAGACTGGTCTCTTACCCTCCAATCTCTCCGTTTGTCTCTCCTTCCTCTAGAATTTTCTCTCCCAGCGTGCAGTGGAGCACCTTCTCAATATGCTGATTAACATTGCACCGTACGTTTTCACCGAAGAATCGGATCAACTAACAAACGTGGAGGGTGCTGAGAAGCCAGCCAGTGGTGATGGAACTGCGGTTGTCCCTGCAACTACCGGACCGTCCTCAGTCCCTGCACAACCCGACTCAGCACCTGTTGTTGCGGCCGGTGACAGTGACACGCCCTCACGGACCAGTGAGTCCTCTCGGGCCGCAGTACGAATGCTAGAAGAAATGGGCTTTGCTGCGCAAAGTGCTGAATTAGCTCTTGAGGTCAGTGCTTCGGTCACCACAACTGCTTTTTTTGTTTTTGTATTTCAGTCACTCAGATGTCATCTTTTCACCCAGTATTTACGCGTGCTGTATCCATATGTTTCGTCCGATCTTGAGCTCTATTCTATGCAATTTCTTTAACAAATCAGAACGATTCGTCGCGTCTACTGTCAACGTGAGATCTGAGTTAAGGAAATCATGCTAACGCTGGTTTTCCGATCGGCAAATGTGTGATACACGTAGCCTGGTTATACCCGACGAACTCCCTACTGCCTCTACATCCTTTTCTTAGCACCTTGACTTTGTTCTGCTTTTCGGACGTGATGTGCGTGAGAGAGAAAGAGAGGGAGGGAGGGAGAATGTGCCTCGTGAACCAATAACCATTGTTTGTTGCGACACCGTTGGCCCTTGTCAACCTCGATATAGCTAAATTAGAGGTAGTGATGCATTGTTTACTCACAGTCGCTCCAATTCGCACATTAGGCATAACCCATTTTTCAAGAACCTCCGCTCTTCGCATTATTTTCGTAGTTCTTGTATATCCACGTTGGCAAGACCTTTTCTGCCTAGTCTGATGGCGGCATTTGAGGGATAAAACCTGTTGCCGTTTCTCAGTCCTGAATGCATTTTTGCTTAATACGTCGGACCTCCAACTTGGACACTTATCTACTCCGCGTAACCTTAATTCGCTCAGTCTGTCTTTACATGTTTCAGATGCAGTGGAGTTTTGGAATGTTTTGGAATACTTTGCCCGTGTAAGGCAATTTGCACTAAAAACGGCTTAGCTTGTAATATAAGACTTTGCTGAACAAACAACGGCCTACGGAATGTGTCGTCTGAAGGGAACGTTGACAATTTTAACTCCACTCTTTTTCGCTACTTTTAAGTCATCTCTGCCTTGAACCACTTACTTTTTAATGTTTGCTCGTAACATGGGTAAATTGGCATCTCCCGCTGTTCATACAAGGGTTTTCCTGCAGTCACACAATCTTGTTTGCCCATCAACTTGTTTAACTTTGCAAACTTAACACGACTCTGGTTTGCTTACTTCAGGAGAGTAACTGGAACACGGCGGACGCTGTGAACCTCCTGCTACTCTCATTGGATGATTTCACTCCCTTCAACTTCAATCCCGCTGGTGTTGCCCCGGAGCGTCCCACTGCGCTGTTTCAATTTCCGACTGAACCGGAGGTACCCAAACCTGCGCCGGTTCAGGCGTCCGGTGCTCTTTTGGACTCACTGATCTATGAGGTACTTGCATTAACTTAACGTATTCGCATTAGAAAATCTAATCGAAGTGGCCAGAAACCTACCAAAAGACGTAAACATGGCTCTTATTGGCCCCCTTTATTTGCGGTAATTTATCGTGTGCATTCTCGTGAACGGTGTAAACAATTTGAACAAAATAGACCCTGAACTAGACGTCCTTAGACATTGGTGTTTGTGAGTGCACATGCATGTCTGAATAGTCTTCACTGATATCTCATTAACTGTAATAGAATTGTGGCTGTTTACTGTATCCCTTTCAAACTGATTGCACAACGTATACTTCCCACGCGAAGTATGTCGCTTGCCTTTTTCTGCCAAGGTGTACGGACTCCGTGCTCAGTCATTCACCTCTATATGCCCTCAGCAACACACTGAGCAGGCCTGTAGGCCTATAGGTCTCCTGTGCCTTTTTCTGATTCCCAGCTTCGCTCCCCGCAGGTTATAGCATGTGTTATTCTAGTATTAAGTATGGTTTATGCAAATCAGCCTAACTCCGATATAGCCTTGCCAGAAACGTGCTGCTCTCCTGTAATCTCTGCGCATGTTAGACCACTGTCCATGCAAGCGAAAATACAGGAACGGCCGCACACCAATCCATTGATTTCCCGAGCGGACGCGTCCCAAGTGAGTAGCAGAAAGCAGGACAGGCAACCACGTACCGCGTGCGTGGACCGTCTGCTTGTTCTTCAACTGAAGGGTCTTCAACTTTGAACAGAAAGTCAGCAAAATATTCTTCCATGTAGATAGTGAGACCATGTTGATCTTATTTTTCTGTGGCTTATCCACCCTGTATGACTTCTTCGCTAAGATAATTTCTAGCCGTCCATTTGATTTTGGTCTGCTCGTCCATTTTGTCGAGTCTATGAAGTCGGAACCTGCCAAGTCATAGTGGACGGTTTAGCGCACTTGCCGCAGCAACGACTTTTTATGTAGAATTTTGTATTAGAAGCTGACTGTGAACCTGATGGGTTTGTACCTCAAATGTGAAAAAGCCACGAGCCAAGCGACGCCTAGCTGCTTCAGGGAAGCCTGACTCTTCTGGTGCAGACCACTGGCGATTTCATTACAACTGTGTAAGCAGCTTATAAGAGAGCAACCGATGAAGCTGCCGATTGATTCGGTCCTCCTCCGGAGACGAAATACAGTTGCGGCCTGGCGGTTTCCTCCAACATCTTCCTTAGTCAAGCCATGTAGGTGAAGAGAAGCTCGATGTTTTGGAGACATTAGGCCAAAATGTCTCAGCAATCGGTTCTTGTTTCTGCCCTGAGTAAAAATTTTGGATCCTGTCGACAGGAAAGTCTACGAATTGGACAAGGGCTGTCAGAGTTGCCGATGGCCCTGAACCTCAAAATGACTGAATTTATAGAAGCCAGCGATGTACCATCCTCTGTCATGTTGTTGGTCCAGTGCGTCTATCTTATTATTAGCCTGTGCTATCTCTTCAGAGTTTGTTTTCTTCGAGAAGCCAGTAAATCAGTTTGCTTTCAATTAGTTTCAGAATACATGCCCTATCTGTGGCGAAAAATAAAGTAGTCTGACTGGTCATTGATAAACTTCGCTTTGATCATAGGTACTTGATCAGAGCGAAGTCAGGTGACATTGTCCGCCATCTCAGATGAGGCATATACTCTGACATTAAGTAATCCGTACCTGTCCACGTCAACTTCCATGTATGTTATCAACTGACCCACGTGCAACTAACAGTTAGCAATGGCTGTTTGAGGATGGATAATAAACCAAGAATACCCTTGATAGACGTTCACCGACCACTAACGGAACCCACTTGTAAAGCTCTGCCTTGGGTCTACTTTCTCGGGCCCTGTCACCAACCGTAGCGGCAAGACAGTGAGCTCGTGGCTCAATGGTTAGGACATAATACTTCTGATCAAAATGGTCGCAAGTTCGACCCTCGGATGGTGCACCACTTGAGGTTGGGTATGACTGGTTGACGACAGCTAATAAGCCAGAAATAGCTATTCCGATCTCCCTTATCTTTGCCGACAATACTATAAGCCAAGAATAGCCCTCCCGTTTTCTCTTGTCTATGCAAATTTATACGCAAATGTTGTTAATGTCAAGCGTGATTTTACTGTTTGGCCCGATCACTGCTGTCCACACCGTATCACCTTCCACTGTGACCAGACTTGTGTTGTTGCTGGCATGTTTTCCGCTCGGTAGACCTTCCACTGTGAGCTTTAGCACAGCCATTTGTACTTAGAACTGTTCGCTAGTCTTGTTACTTTGCGAATAGTGTTGATCAGCGCAATTTCTTACAATGCTGTCATAAACTAGCTTCTCTTAATTATTTTTTTCACTATGACTTACTTTAGAAATGGATTGTAGAATGCAGTTGATTTTGCTTTCTCCCGCCCTCAGTTATATCAATCACTGATTGTCACTTTCCTTTCTTCTAGGTCGGTCCCCGAAGACCAACAGAAGAATCTCTGTGGGTCCCTCTCACATCCGATCATCCCAGTGGCGCTTCAACCGTTGTAAAAACTACTGATGCTGAGATCGATAGGCTCCGCGAATCCTTGAGGAAGAATATATTTTCCGCCTGTTATGAGATTGCGCGACTGCATAAAACTGATGAAGTATGTCTTTGGTATTTTTGACTGTGCGTATCTAATCCATCACCCGATAATCAAATCGTTCAGCGATAATTTTAAGTTTTCTAAAAATGTAAATGCGATCTAGTACTCTCTTGCTGTTTTTCGTCGTTCTGTAGAAGTTCTGCAATTCCTTAAAAATTCGATGAATCGTTTAGAAGATGAAGAAAGAATAAATGTTCTTGTTTATTTTTTGGACATTGACTGTCCTACTTCTTATATGATCTGCAATTACGCGTGCGATCTCAATTCACACCGTTTGCTCGTTGTCAACCTTTGAACCCTTCTCATCTACTGATGCTGCAAACTAGATATTTTCCTTGCCGTTTTTGGTATTCTTAAAAACTTATTTCTTACCTTTTACGTCTCTTGCCTTTGCTGTTAGTCTTCTGAGACCCGGGTTACATCAGTTTGATGTTATCTTGCATTTTTAAAATCCATTCTCAAAACTTTGACGTTCATTATTTCATTTGTTCTTGTGGTTACTTGAGCCTGTCTCCTAGCTCCCTTTTCGTGCAGCATTCACCTTTTTGCGAGACACTAGTCGTTAGTTTTCTTTGGGGCGCTTTGCCCGCGAACCCACTCAACTTTAATGTATTCTTTCTCTCTGTGTATTTCCTCCTGTTTATTTCCGTTTGTCATTAAATAATTCCTGTTTTTGATCCTGATGTACAAAGCTGGAGATACGCCCTTGGAAAATAACGTTTTGCAGCTGGTCTCTTGTAGCTCAGTAGCAATCAGCTGCGACTTTAACTAATTCTCCCAGGTGTCATTTGGTTTTTCGCATCTTTTTAATGTAGTCTCGTGATGCCTTTTTCGAAAGCAACTGCAACATAAAACTTATCGAGCCTTTTCCTTTAGGAGTTTAGGCGCTGTGACACATACAGTAGTGCACGGCAGGTTGAGCTTTCTGAGTCTGAAACGTTTCTGCTTGGTCACGTGAATGGCATCACCGTTTCTGCGTGTAGATCCTCCCTTCTAATCTTGTCTTTGAGCTCAGGGGGGGGGGG